AAAAAAACATCGAATTTTATAAAATATACAAAAAGATGAGAGGGAAAAACTTAAATTTCTGATATATAATTTTTTTTTATGGTTGTGAAAGCAATCAGTATTATTCAATTCCACAATTTTATTATGACTAGAATTCATAAATTTAGCATAAACTGTCTCCCAAAATATAATTCCATCTTGAGCTATAGTTGCTAAGGTAAAATTCTCTAATTCTTCCTCATTGTTTTTAATAAAGTTTATAATATCTTATATTTATAAAATGTCAAGATAAAATTTTCAATGCAAAATTTTTTATCTTTCTCATATATGTTTTCACGATAGGATTTATGAAAAGTAAGATATTCGGTGGCTTCTTTTATGATAAGTTTAGTATAGAAAATTTGAAACTTGTTTTCATATCTTTTTTTTATTAAACTGATTCTAGTTTTGTATAATTCTTTAGATGACAATTCTTTTTAAAAAAAATATTACAGTATTACTAATAATCACATTATTTCTTGTATAGTTTTTTGTAATCCTAAATCTCAAACTTTAAATTAAAAATCATCAAAAATCCAAATATTCTTTTTTTTTTAAAAAAAAAATTACTATATTGTTTTCGATAAAATAAAGAATGGCTATTATAATTGTAATAAACTAGAATTCTAACTAATTTAGGATAGCTGGTCATATCATCATTAACAATGAATAAATTTTAAGGATAATTGATTAGTTCAAATTAATAAACCGAATTTTTTAACTAATTAGAATTAGAGCTATTAACCATAAAGGGCAAGAAAATTAATATAGAAAAAACTAGTAATATGATTGGCTAATATTATATAAATTAGAAATTTTTGGCAGAAGTTGGCAATTGTACCAGTTGGCTGACCCAAAGAATTGTTTGGCAGCTGTTGGGGTATATAATAAAATGGATAAAAATTTTAAGAAGGATAATTTTTATCGATTGGCTTTTGTTAAGAATTGTGTGATACAGTCTTTTTGTGGGAAACAGTGATTTTTTGATAAGTGGGTGGTTTTAAAAACTTTTGTTTAAAAATCTTATTTGCTTGTCTTGCGATATTTTCATAATGCTTAATAACATTATCAGGCTCGTTCCTCCATGAATTAGCTATGGCAAAAGAAATAATTCTCATACTTAAATAATAATTTTTATTATGAAGCTCTTTAATGTATTGCATTCTGTAAATCAAAAACGCATTCGGTGGTTTTGTGGGAATCTGGGATTTTACCTTGGATTTTACCTTCCTTTGACTTGTAACTAATTCTTCTAGATTGACTATGAGTGGAAAGGGTACCTCAATGACAGGCACTGAAGGTTTGTTTTCTTTATTTGGAGAGGAGAATGATTCATCAATCCAAAAATTATAATTATACATTTTGCCTATAAGGTTTTTTTTTAATAAAATAAATCGAATTTCTTTTTAAGAAATGTAAGAAATAAAATTATTTTTACTTCAAGAGGAGATATTTATATTTCATTGTTTATTAAAACTTAGATAGAGGCAAAAAAAAACTTATCGGTAATTGATGCTATTCAAGTACAAATTAAGCCAAAAATAAGAAGGCAAGATGATTATTAAATCTAATAAATTCTATTATCTCATTTGTGTATGTGGAAAATACGAATTTCTATAACAATTTGTGACCATTCACTTATGTTTATTTTAACTGAATTTTAAAACCAACTTAAACATCATTTTTTAATTAATCCAAATCTAGGTGTCAATATATTAGTATTACGAATCATTCTTTGTGCTGCTTTACACAATTTTTGTTAATAACTATATGATTACTAATTTGTTCATTACCGTTACAATTCATCTTTGTCAAGTATTTTAAATTTAGAGTAGAAAATCTCAGATTAATGAAAATCTTGTTTAATATTAAACACCCTCTTAATATTTTTAGCATGATTTTATTCCAATCTTTAAAAACTACTTATTAAAGATTTTGAAGAAATAATTAAACTTTTTTATTATACAGATCATATATATACTTGAACCTTTGCTTTCGTTCAAATTACTTTATATTATTATTTAATATGAAATATTTTTTCTTTCAATACGAATTACCCAATGAAGTTATGATATATAATTTTGAATTTAATAATAAGTTGCAAAAAATGGTTATTTATTTGTAAAGACTCTCAAGCAAAGGCAGAATAGAGTATTTTTCAATTTGGGAGGGCTCATTGTCTTTTTCATACTATTAAGCTAGGTCCCACATTTATCTCTGTTGCAGTGCTCGAAATATTATTACTAAAGGTGCTTTCTTATTCACTATGGTAATTATGACACAAAACTTATCGAATTAAAGATCGCACATAGTGCCGATATAGACAGAACGAGGACTTTACAACAAAAAATAATTTCATGGGCAAGTAATTTTCCTCTCACTGTTTATATGTTTTTATTAACAGAAGCTTCTAATCTATTCAACCCTAATTTGTACTTGAAAGGTAATGATATGGAGCTCTTTCACTTTCTTTCTGGA